GCTTGGTTCGAAGTAGAAGATCAGTTCGATCTGGGCCATAACTAAGGAAAGGAATGACGGGACGGGTAAAGTGCGAGCCGATAACTCGTCACACACGAACACCCCAGAACCGAACGAAAGCAGGATAGAAAGAATAAATGTGCGAGAAAGCAGGATATTTCAAAGTAGTTAGAAAGAGATGAATGGAGAAGAAAGTCTTGAAAAGTTGTGGTCGTGTGGTCTTGTGGTCAGTTGGCGGGCGAACGTTGCACGCACGTACGAACCCAGCCGGTGGGGACGTGAAAGACTTGCGAGAGTTTTAGATATTGGAACCAATTTGCTTTACGACGTGTCCGTCCGTGCCCGCAACCGAGATAAATCCGCCGCGTGACATTTTTTAACCCCACGTGCCTTTCCGACCACATTTCCCGCATTTCCCACTTTCCACGCCAGCGGCACTTATTACGAAACTCGGACGTGAGAAACATCAGAGTATCGAAATACGGATAATAAAAATAAAGTCGAAATAATTTAGGCCCCAAGGACGAGAAATCGAAACGAATCTGATATGGCGCATAAAATCATCGAAGTGCAAGCCCATAAACGACCGCATGAGAAATACGTCGAAGGATCCAGTCGAGTCGAGTTAATTGAACATAAAACACAGGAATATGTGAGCGCTCAAATTCAGGAAGATGGCGCAGCCTTCAGGAAGGAGAAGTTAATAGTCGTCGCTGAATATTTCATATCGTAGATGCATGAAGGTATGAATGTACCTGCCGGTGACTTCCGGCACATCCACTTCCGTCATGTGCGAACGTGGATGGAAATGTGTCGTCCGAGGCACAAAAGTGAATGCGAAATGCTTTCAGCCCCGTCAGAGGACGACAACTCGACGCTCGGCAGGACGATGAAACGATGAAACTAGAGGATATGGATCGTTAAACCGCCATTGCGTCCGTGTCATATCGCACAATAAAATTCTCCTTTACCTGTCTACTCCTAAACATTCCTCGCCCTTCGTGTCGGGAGTTGTTTCTTGATTTGGCGCTTGGTTGAGTTGGTGTAAGGTCATAAAATTGCAGTTATTGGTCAAAATGGTTGAAGCACTAGTCGCCATGCATAAAATATCCAAGACGGAATTACAACTCAAACATATGTACTATTTCATTACTATTGCATGCTCGTCGGATTCGAGAGTTTCAGGTTTCGTGGCTCGCGTGTGCACCGCCAAGTGCGCATGATGCCAAAATTAGGGGTTTCCGAATAATGTAATACCCACCTCGCGAGGATCAGCGTGTTCATGCTCGTCTCGACAGTATCAGGGCGGAATAATTGATAAAGAAAGACCCAAGAAAGACGCCAAGAATAAACGTAAGCAGGGGCTCTGCGCCAAACCTACTAAATTACAATTGACGAAGACCTTCAGGCATACCCCACCAAGCATCGAATAGATGGATCACATGGTGGAAATTATAGAAACGAAAATCCCAGAAATAAATTACATTAGACGGCATTAGAAGCAAGTTATGAGCGTCGAGGTGGAAAGCAGCAAAACCCCAAGGAAAGCCAAGAACAAACCCAAGAAAGACCTAAGAAAGTATAATTATCCTCACCAAGACTGAAATGCTCCCACTTTCCACTTTCCAGTTTGGCAGTCCTGATGCCGAACTCTACGTGCATTATTAGTCAAGTTCACGGGTGACTATTGTCTGAATTCAAACTTCCGACTGCAAACCCTAAAGTCTGCTCAGGTCTGCACCATTCTGGTCGCGGTGACTTGTGAGTGTTCATGTGCGGTTTGCTGGCGACACTTCGCCGAAAATCAATGCGCGACGACGATGGCGGAAAACTCGCAAGTCGAAGTCGGTTTTGCGGCGCACCGGGCGAACCTAATTACCATCCGAGAGCGAGAAATCCCTGACAAAGTAGTGCTAAGCAACCAACCAACCAACCAGCCACCCGAATTAAATGCGGTTTGAGGAAATGTTGCTACAAGACGTGGGATCAACTTTAATCCGAACTTAACTCCAACCAAATCCACCAATAGACATGCCAATTCAATTTTTCCACTTCGAAATGTTGAATAATATGTGCTTGAAGTAATAATCCTCAAAAGAGAAACAAGGGTTGTGGTTGAGGAGGCATCCGAGTGAAGAAAGTCAATCTGCAATCTCGTTTTGAGGTTTGTGAAGCGACAAATCTCGGTCGCTTCGTGGTAATGACAAGTTATAAGGCGACGTCTATGTCTACACAACGCCGTCGTCACCGCAACGTTTGCGAAAACAACCGGCGGGGCACAAGGCACAAAGCATCGCTCGCGCGCGCGCTGCATAAACACGACAAGACAGAGAGTTTAATTAAGTCCCAAAACCATCATCATTGTTTTGGATACGTCCTTACACATCCAACAGTCGTCATTATACCACCCTCAGGCAACACCTCCGCGGACCTAAATCCAGTTAGAACTGGACTCAACGTTGACTTAGCCTTACTGCTGGTCCAACTGACTTAGAATATTATATACTATTGTGAGGAATTATCTTAGGAGGCATTAGAAGATCTTGGAACAGATTGTATACAGGCATCATGCATCAGTGACTGTGCTCAACTATTATTGTGCCCCCGACTTGCAATATAAAGGAAGAAGGGCAATTGAATCCGAATCGTGTTTAGTTAATATTCATTTGTAGTCACAGTCTTTGCATCCCGGGAAAGGACTTGACCCGACTGCTGGAATACTCAAATCACTTGCTTTCTCGCTCACTCACTGCACCCCAAGAGGAGCACACACCGGATTGTTGTTGTTGTTTGAGTGGCTTTCCGAAGGGACTTAAATTGAATTCCGGGCTCGTCTTTGATTTCCTTAACTCTAAACCACTCGACATGACGTTCCAGCTTCAGTGTTCTAATGGCAACCAGAACCTACGTCACCCAACTCCTCACGTGATGCTAATGTGCCAAAAAATACTTAAAACCCTGTCGTGCGGAAAATTAGTCCTCGAGATGTGTGAAATACAATAAACTACTTTCGTCAGCTTTTTTTATGATGATGCATTGAGTGTATGAAAGCAGCAGCACTCGCAATTGCGTTTGAATCTTATTCAATTGGAATTATACGCTGTTATTGACATGCGCGCTAATATAATATTCTCAGAGGCCGGGTCGTGATTCGAAAATCCGATTACGAACGTCAATGCACCGCAATATGTGCGCTTTATCGAGTAGAGTGCACGTCCTTAAATCCATCAAAACACATTGATAAACAATGAAGAAGAAAAAAGGGACAAAAAATCATCAATATATATTTATGGATGAATAAACCTAGTATTTTTAATTGCCGGGTGGTGCCAGCGCCAGTTAAAACTCGGCAACATTTTAATATTTTAATATTGTAATTTAAATTTTAAAATTCAGCCGGCATCTGTCCACCGCGCACACGCATTATAATTACAAGTCCCTCGACAATGCCAGATGTGGCGCTGTGGCACGGCGACCCGCCCGCGCATTCTCATCCTCGAAGCCCGCCGCTGGAAATTATAATATTTAACAAGCCGAAACCATAAACGGCGACCACATGCCTCATACACGCATTCCCATCACGGCCAATACCACGCGACTCTGTTATGATAGGGATGCTCAGACCAGCATCGGGCGTCAGACATGACACGAGAATAATAAAAGTACCAATTTATTATTATGCAAATCAACCTGTGTGTATACTCTATGTCTGGCTGTCGTAATAAATATGCGATATTAATTGATACTGATATCTGCATATTGCCTATTTTCAATTTCATAATATCAGCCTTTGTCTGGTTCTGAAAATTGAAAATTGTTTCGCAAGTTGAGATTTGATGTGATTTGATGTCGCTTGATGGTGCGCCTCTAGAGACGTCCTTTTTGATAGAAATCTGCGCGCATAATTCGATAAAGCGAAATAATAAGAAAAGCACCCTCTCGTTTGGCTCGTTGCGTCTCGTCTTTTTCGTTTCATTGTCGCCTGTTACAATTGAATTTCCTCCCGCGTTCCCATCTTCCCTTGCCATCTCATACCATTCCGTCTTGCTATCGAGAATAGCAGCTCCATGTACTCTACGCGTTGCCAATTTCACTTTTCTTGTCTTGAATCACAACGCCTTGCATTTGAAATTTTGCAACTAATACCGATACAAAGATTGCAAAATGAGTTAAACATACAATATGGTTTTGTTTACCGAAACTTTGAATGTGATTCGGTGTGGTTGGGACAAATTTCGAGCGCAATATTTCAGTTTCATCCCCGATAACTCAATATTAAAGTTATCTCCCGTCTGGGTCTGCCATCCACAGCGGATTTCAGCGCTCGTGGAGGCAAGAACTGATGAAGTTATTCAAATTTTTATATCTTGTTTGGGTTATTGTGTGTTTCACGTCGTGCGAGAGCACACATTCCCTTTGTTCCATGTGGACATATGGACTTGTAGAAAATTTTCGGATAGTATAAATATATATTCTACTGGGTCATTCAAAAGAAAACTGTGCAGAATTCAAATTTCAGTAAGTTTGAAATAAACCAATATGTTCGACAGTCAGAGACCGAGAGAAAATTGTTGATAGTGATGTCCTGTGGATGAAAATTTTATTACCCTTATACTTTTATATCCGAAGCTATAAAATATCTACAATCTACGATATTACGTCTGCGGATAGATGTATGTGCGTGTGCAGCACCACCTTTAGTAAAGCAAGTGGGAGTGAACGCTTTTGTAGCATTTTCAGCTTTTCGTCTGAATTTCCTCGAATTCAGCAAGCGCGAAAGCTTTCCCGACGCATTCGTGCACAATTGCACTTCTATCAAATGAGCGTACGGGCGCATTTCGATGTCGAAGCATTAAAATCCAATTTTTACATAAAATACTATAGAATACAATTTTATTGCGGGGATGAGGGGGCACAAGTCCAAAGTCACTTCGGGGCGTAATCATGCATTATTGTCGACGACGTAGACTCAGAAACAATTTGTGAAGGACCTGAAAATGCCACGGAACGAGTTTTAACTCGGAGCATGACGTGGTTCACATCGATGTCAATCAGGGCACATTGAATGACAAGCGACTAAAAACCTGACATGTTTAACCAGTGCCTACCGAACGTTGGATAGAATATTTAATACAGATTTCTAAATTTTAATGCAAAAAACATCGTTTTGCAGACACTGGTATAGTGGGTAAGTGTATTCTAGATTCCACATTACCAATCCAAGAAGCTAATGTATAATTCAAACGTGCTTCGAGTACAATCGAGCAACAGATACATGATTGCAACACGACTTCTGTATCGGCATAAATTCAAATTAAGTTATTTTTATGTCCATTCCCAATTCGATGGCCAGAAGCGTAGCGAACCAATTCAACCAAGAAGATCTTCAAGATACCACTGTGGAATTGAGCAAGAGAGCAACATAACAAACGATATGTTCACCATCCTCAAGAGTCGTAGGTGTTAATTAACCGTGAAGAAACCAACCGGTTCTAGATGCGTAAGCAAAAAAAAAGCTGGGGACTAAAAAAAGAAGAAGCAATCGACCATATCGAATGGTAATTTCATTGTGCATCCTATTGATGATAATTTATTCTTCTATCCGGGATGTAATACTAACAATAAATTCATGTAATCGCGCATTGTCTGCGCTGTTCTGTTGAAAAGCAATATGTTATTGTCGTATCTCAACATTCTCAGCATTAGATGTTGATTATTATAAAATGCGGGCATTGAATCAACTTGAGTTTTATACAAATATAAATTTAATGCCGGCGTTATCGTGCCGCACGGAGTGGAAATATTATCCACAAATAAGTTGCGCGTTTGAATCATCATGGAAGTCGCCCCACAGCACATGTGGGTCTTATCGGCATTGGTCGCGCTCGCAGCGCCTTCGGCTTTTGGAGCCGTCCGCGTTTTTAATTCAACCAATTAATCGCGGTAATCGTCGCGAGCGTATGCGAATGTCAACGTTTGCGTATTTGTGTGCACGTAATCATCAGAGGGCTGGTGGGCTTCTGCATGGTGCTGATAAGCGCTTGACGAGAATTAAAATTCCATATTTGCTCGCCAATTTCGGCGAAAATACGCGTATTTTCCGCGCTGTCACGAGTTCAGTATGTGAATCTCACCGAAAATACCGCAAAAAACAAAGCGGGTCGTAAATCTAACTTTCAGTTAAAATTTCGTCCCTGCGAATTTACAGTCGCTAGCATCTGGAGAAACATATTGTCTCCTTTGGGTGCTTCGGGAGGTGTAACTAAATCTAACTATGTTTTACGACGTTTTACACGACACCTCCTGGGCAGGCGTTGAGCGTTGAGCAAGTTTTGTGATTTATGTCGACGATCCGCCATCACGGTTCCAGGACACTAGGAGTTTTCGCGCTTGTTAAACCAAATAGAAAACGTCTTTATCTCAAAACGTAAACAGTGGACTATGACCCGGAGCGCAAAATTTTACAAGGTGCTCAAATTCGGCGATAAAATTTCGCTCAACTCGCACGTTTTTATCATTCCGGCAGTTTTCCGCCGTCCTGCTGATTTTGTTGAGAATCGTTGGGGAGCATAAATATCTCGCGAATGAAGTGTCCAGCCACCAAAAAAGAGGGCTTCAAACAAAAATTGTCTAAAAAATGAGGTGCAGGCGAATAATGCTCATTTTCGGCAAATTGAACTTGACATCTCTGCGTGTGGTGCACTCTGGCCGCATGATTTATGTCGGTGGTGCGGTGGCCATGACTCTTTAGCAGATATTTCCAGCCGGCGGGATTCCGGTGACCATTGCACCGACAGGATAATAATATAATGGGGCACCCCCGCGGAAAGCCGTAAGCCGGTGGAGTCGAAGAGTTAGTGGTGGCATCAGCATCATCAGGTAGTGACGTTTGCATTTTAATGGGGCGCGCACGCCAGCCCAGGACAATGTTTATAGCGGACATTTAGCGCTGCGGTGCGGTGCGTCATATGTCACCGGGTGCTGTGGACTCCCTGGACCTGGCGCGACGTGATATGTGCGTCTACATTCATGCGGTCGAGGAGCAAATACCAAATGTCACAGGAAAACCAAAATGTTCAAATTCAACTAAAACCCGGCAATTAATAGACACTGAAAAGACGTTAATCCAGTTTGCTAACAAGGGCCACTGCACAATAGATAAGGGATGAGATATGGTTGATTGAATGATCAATTTTTAGTCGCAAGTATTCTGCTGACACTTTGTTTGAGACACACGTGTTCTCCCTTTAGGTTTCGGTGAGTGCTTGTAGTAGTGCTCGGCATTAAGGGCAGTTTTACCCCGTTTACACTGATGAATCGCCATCAATATCCCCGCTAATGTTCCAGACTGCGCGTTTCGGAGGACTCGCGGGAACGCATTGATACCGTAGTGATACATGTCGCTTACAAGTGCGTCGTCGTGCGTCTGCTTCAAGTCGAGGGTGTCGGAGTACCCCGGTACAAAAACAACCCCCAGGGTTCACCCCTTTTGGCCTTGCTCTTTGCCGGCCTATCTCGCTCGTCGCCTGCTCTTTGTCGTAATGAAGCGGTGCCACGACGCAGGATATGTTCTAGGTACAAAATGACTTTTGCCAGTTGGTCGCCTGAACAAAAGCGACTGGAAGGCGGAGTGCATGGAGCGAGGTGGCATTGTCCTAGGCGCAAAATTACAAATCAGTTTCGGTATGTTCGCGCAGAGTGTGTACAAACGATGCCATTGTTTCGCTTCCCCAGAAATATAAACTCCCTCAGCGTCGAATGACATTTAAAACCCCGACCCGCACCAGCATCGCTCCATCAAGAACCGACAATGGACAGAATTCAATTTTAAAATTAATGCGTCAATATATATCGAAAATGGGGCTTTGGAAAACTTTAATATTCATTTGGTTTTTATAGGGTCGATCGCGTTTGATGATTCACCTCTGCAAGTCTGCGCCAGTTGTGGCCGGCCGTAAAACACAAAAGTACAACAATAAATGAAAACGCCACGTCCTCGGGTAAATTGCGCAGTAAAAAGGGCTTTGTTCGCATTTCAAAGTCCTTCGAACAAGTTATTCGAAACCCGAGCTTGAGGTGAGGCTTGTAGGGATAGATTAAAGGTCCCAGCCGTGGTCCAAACTACAGTTTAAGGGATAAATACTACAAGAGTCCTGGATGCTTATTCGAGCGCGCCGCGCGCGGCGGCAATGAAATTAAGCCCTCGACAAACCCGAATTCGCTGTAATGACTAGCCTTGGACTACCACCACTCCAGAGCGCGCAGAGGCAAACAGACACATATCATCATCATGGCGTGTTCTCTCCAGAGAGCAGAATTTATGCTTTTCCAACACACACACGCACCCAGCATGTGGCTATGAACCGCATATATGAAGATGTAAGTTAGGTTCTGAAGGGTGGAGCAGACCAAGATGAGAACTTCAAGATGAAGTCTGTTGAACTTGTTATCCGACGAGACCCCGACCAGACATCAATTGCTGAAATTGAAATACCAACTACACCTTCGTAGAAAAACAACGACCGCACAATTTTAAATTTTGCTGAACTAAATTCCTCACTGAATGAAAACGTTGAGCGCAAAAAAAGTGTTAGGAAGAGTCGGGGGCGGATGAGTCGGATGTGTTTGGATGTGTTGGCGTCGGAAACGTGGAAACGGCGCGCACGCGAGAGAATTGCCAATTAAAACGAAGCCCATTATCGTCGTCCGGGCGCTATCTGGCGCGCTGATAACGCCGCGCGGAGGTTCTGCGCATTTTTCACGTGCGAAATGCGCACGTACGCCGTCGGTGCGAACCTAATTCAATTTCGCGTCGCATCGCACCCTCACTCCACCGCTCCCTGCGAACCACTTGCTTGCCTACCTGCCTCATAGCGTTATATCCATTTACAAATCAAATGATTCGCGCCTCGCAACGCGAAAACAAACGACTTGCAAAAACTACTCGTAATTGATTTTTAAACAATCGAGCATGGCTAATTTTTCAGTCATTCAGCTTTCAACAAAAGAATAATTTTCTTACTCAATACAATTTTCAATATCCGTGTAGTGCATTCTTACCTGAAACAAACAAATAAATAAAAATTAGTTTGATAAAAATAGATTTGCAAATTGAATTACATATTATGAATTCATTAGTTGCACATGGATTTGATTTCTTAAGCAGTCTCAAATCCAATTAGTAGACGGCTCATTGCGTCGCTCTTCGAATACTATTCGTGGCATTTTGTCATGTCGTATATAACATCGCGCATAATGAATAATTAATGAAGCGCGCCACTCTCGCGTTCGGTCTTAATCAATTAAATCGCCTTATTAGTTGGCTCCGGCGTCTTGATCTCGCCCGAACGCCGAGGCAACCGGGGAGTTATAAATCGCGGAATTATTTTAATTTTATGCCGCTGTACTGGAATCCTCGAAAGATACCGATCTCAATAGTTCTCGCAGGAGTTATCGCCTTTTAAAGATTACTTCATCATTTACCCGATCAGATCTGGGACTAAAAATATTTCAAATTTAAATTTTAAATATTCCGCAGCAATAAAATTAATGGATTATTTTATTATACACTTTTTGCGGTGACATCAGCATTGATTTTACATTATGGTATTTTTCCTAACGACTTTTAAATACAAAATAATTGCAAAATAATTAAATTATGCTTAATATGTTTTAATATTCGCAACCCTTTTCTGGCGTGTGCTGTTCGTGAGCGCATAATTTCCCAACTGTGACATTAAAACATTAGCGATGTTTAAAAATTACAATTTTTTGCGAGCGAAAAATTCTAATTGCATCCATCGGGGTGGAAAATGAGGCGGAGGGTTAAAGTGCCACGTATGTTCACTGTAATTACCACCATTACCATATTCCATTAATTATTAATTTTGGTTTTAAAATTAATTCTTAAATTTTGTTTCATCCTGTGTGATTTAAGACAAAGTTCAACCACAATGCAACAAAAATCAAAAACACATTATCGTTGCCTTTTTTCAGCCGAAAAGGGGTGCTAATGACCGGATATACTAACAACCTCATACAGGGAAGTCACAACACTCAGCTATCGATACCGACTCTTTCAAGGTGTAACTTAAACTCGGCGGTCAGCGCCTTCAACGTGTTTCGTGCCACGTGCATGAAAATAACATCAGGATAATGATCCTGGATAATTACCGAATGCACTCTACTATTAAGCCCACATTTCCCCCTTGTCTTGCTTTCTTTCAACCAGGAAAATTGTAGTCTAGTCACTGAAAAAATCGAAATTATCCTTGCTTGCTTTGTTTCATGTCTCGAGAACGAATTGAAAATACGATTCAAATCGTCGTGTAATGAAAGTGTCTTCCTCATAAAGCATTCCTCCGTACGGCGTAGGAGTCCTTCGAAAATTACAGGACTCGCCTTGTTAAGAAGTCAAAAGAGCGTCGAAAACGTTTCGCATTAATCTCGCCGCGCGCTCGTCCTGGCGAATTAAAACAGAATCGCTAAACGAGAGAGATATAACGGCACCTAATTAAGAAGGCGTTTAACTTCCGGTTTTCCGGCCTGGAGCCGTCGGGTTCTGCACTCCTGACCCGCAAAAGGGATGAAGCAAATGTTTGTTGTTTGTTTGTGATGTTTCGAATTTAGGTTGTTCGAAC